CTTGTTCCCAGTTCACCCTGAGTTTTCCACGTAGGTAACAAGTATTTACAGTTTCTTGTGACTTCTTCCAGACATATTTTGTGCAATAAGTAAATTAATGCATACGTTCCTTCTTAACCCTTTTAGAAAATGTAGTATAGTATGAAACCATATTAATGTACACTCTTTTGCATTTTTAAAAAAATTTATATCTTGGGAAATTGTTCCATATCAGCATATGAAGCACTCCTTCATTCTTTTTATAGTCTCTTGTCAGCTCTGCCTTGATTTGAAAATTTAGACACCCTGAATATTTCTCTAGGCTGCTGAGGTATTTCTTCTGGGAATTCTTCTTTTAAAATTAAATACAGTATTTGCTGGATAGATTGATTATATGCAAATATTGATCTCAGATTCTTTTCTTCATGTACAGAAAACCTTATTGTTATAAGTAAACAAACTATTAAATTCTAATAAGATAATGAAATTATTTTTATCTTTATAGTTTGAATCAGCTTGGGTATTGACAAATATTGCTTCAGGAAATTCTCTTCAGACACGGATTGTGATTCAGGCAGGAGCTGTGCCTATCTTCATAGAGTTGCTGAGCTCAGAGTTTGAAGATGTCCAAGAGCAGGTAAAAAAAACAAATGAAACAAAGAGAAATAGGTGAAAGAATACAAATTTTCCCTTCAGTCTTATATTCAGAGCCTCAGTTTTAGCACTTGCCTATAACAATCCATGGTTCATCACAGGAAGTGTTCTAGAAATCTCAACTTAACCAAAATAGAAAATTTTATGGTAAATATAGGCAGACTTAATAATATCAGGAATTCATAAAACCATTTTCCTTTCCAACCCTGAAATTCTTTAAACCCTGTAGATATACTTTTTACACCAGGTAAGCAGTTAATTAACTTTGTCATATAGTAATCTCTAGTGTCGATTGAAATGATTTTTGCCACTTTAATGCAGAAAAAGACTTAGAAAACTTGAATTTTTTATTACTGCAAACTTTATCAGATTCATAAATATAAGTCACTACCAAATGAGAATGATTTTCTTCTATAGCTATATAATTAACCTATAATCTGCATATGTTTAAATTTAATGAGCTTTGACATATGTATACACCAGTGAAATTATCATCACACTCAAGATAATTAGCATCCATCACCCCCAAAATTTCACTAAAATTTTCTGCATTCTAATTCTCTCGAATGCTTTGTTTACTCATTTTTTTGTAAGCAAATTTAAAATACATTTTTAATCAGCTGAGTAAGCCATGTGAATATCTGCTCTGTACTAAGGGCTGTATGGAATGTTACATAGGGATAGGTTCTCTGAAGGTAAAGAATATATAGAAGAACTGGTTCCTTCCTTTAATAAACTTAACTACCATGAGTGTTCACATGTACACTTTATAATATTGATCTTTTTTCCCCAGTCCCACAACCACTTCATTTGAACGCCTTGATGAGTGAACTTAGGGGTGTTAATATTCATGTATAATACCAATGTTCATTAGCTACTATATAATTTTTGTAAAGAGTCGCTGTCATTTATTGGTATCTTTTTGAAAGAGTTACAAGAAACTTAAACTATACAACTGTCATTAATGAATAATTCTTTCACAGGCAGTCTGGGCTCTCGGCAACATTGCTGGAGATAGTACCATGTGCAGGGACTATGTCTTAGATTGCAATATTCTTCCCCCTCTTTTGCAGTAAGTTTCTATTTTTTTTTTTTTTGGAATGATAAAAATATGGGACGTTCTTCAGAAAGCAGCATCTTTGGAAAACATTTTCCTTATAGACACTTTCTTACTAACTTGTTCAGATCATTTCTTCAGGCATCCTGTCTAATTCTAGTCCCAAAATTCTGAATTAGTGGTGTTAGAATTAAATTTTATTTTTCTAGAGAAAATATTTAGTATTATATATTACGTCATCAGAGAATTAATGTTCATTGTATAGTTTACCATTGTATCATCATATTTGTAGGTTATTTTCAAAGCAAAATCGCCTGACCATGACCCGGAATGCAGTATGGGCTTTGTCTAATCTCTGTAGAGGGAAAAGTCCACCTCCAGAATTTGCAAAGGTGAGGATTATGCTTGTGGGAAATTGGCATGAAAAGTACAATTAGAGTGTAGTAACCAATATTAATGTGAACAAAAGAGATAATAAAATTCTAACATTTTAAATTTTATCAAAAATTATGTTTCTAGAGAAATTGAGCTTTTTTTGTTTTTGTTTTAATTTGCGATAAATTTTTACTACCCATAAACTCAATTGATCTTAAAACCTAGCAGTTTTTGTTCATAACAAAGTATCTAATACGCAGAAATTCCTAGCTTTAGCACTTAATGAAAGTTCCTTTATATTTTTGGTGTGCGATGAGTATGTTTTGACAAGGAATCTCTGAGAATTTTGTATATGTTCAACTTCGCTCTCTGAAATTATTTTCCTTGGGCTCTGAACACCTCATCAAAGTAAGCAGCAAGGCCACTGACAGCATTCTCAAAGGTGAAAATGCCACTTGGTTGCTTGCTACTCTATCTCTAAAAGTACTGATCACCCCAAAAGTCACCAAGTATGTGCCTCATTGCTTTCTGGAGTTTCTTGCCTCACTTCTGGTTTTTATTGAATTTTATGATCATACCATTTTTTTTCTTTTCAGGTTTCCCCCTGTCTGAATGTACTTTCCTGGTTGCTATTTGTTAGTGACACTGATGTACTGGCTGATGCCTGCTGGGCCCTCTCGTATCTATCAGATGGACCCAATGATAAAATTCAAGCAGTCATTGATGCAGGAGTATGTAGAAGACTTGTGGAGCTGCTGATGTAAGTTATCTTTAAGAAAGCGTGTCTGCTTTTTTGACTCTATATTAGTTTTTTAGTTGCTGAACTCAAATATTAATTAGCACATTATACTGATTGATTGTGTTTTGGGCTGCTGTTCTTTGTTACTTGTTTATATTGAAGTCAGATCTGTTTGTTTTGTGGCTTCTAAAGAACCTGTCACTCTTCCGCTATTAACAGTCCTTCAGAAACACTTGAAAAGCTGATCTGTGTAATTCCATCTCATGCTTAATGACTTGAGACCAACCACTGGCTAGCAAAAGGCGTATTGCCACTAAAAATAGTCATTTCTTATCTTTCTGTCTGACTTAGAGATTAATCTAGACTGGTGTCATACTTGGAATTTTATTTTGGTCTATCTCTTTGGTGATGCCTTTGATTAATGGAGTGTAAGATTTACTGATGGCATAGATAATTTGAGACTGTATAATCAAAATTTCAGATAATACTGTGGGGAAAAATTAGAGTGATTAACATAATGGGGAAATGATACAGTTACAAGCCACTTAAAATTTAATTGACATAAGTACAAAGTAGATCAAGGAGACATTGCTCCAAATGTGACACGTGGAATGGATTAGATAAGTATAATATACACAATGCAAAACCCTGGAATTTTAGCTGCCTGCACACTGGATGCAGATCAGTAGCATAATGCTATTGTGAATTAAAAGCAGAATGCTACAAAGGTTAGAAGTACAACATATGAGAAGTAATCTTTTGTACTCTTTAGTCTCTGGATTACTACGTGTCTTAACAATTTCTTTTTAGTCATGTGATTTTAAAATAAATGTGAAGGAACTGGCACAGTTTTGAGAAGAGTAATCGGGCTTATTAAAGGAGA